CAAAACTGGATTATGACACTTGGTCATCTCCAAGACAAACCTCTGGACAAGGTGCTGGGCTGCACCACAGGAAACCCACAAATTCAGTGCAGGCCATGTTAGAGAAAAAGAATGGTTTGTGTCAAAGAAATATTTCCTCTTGTTTTTGTTGAGAAAGTTTTTTTAAAAACATCATGTAGTGCCTAAATTGTCATGTCCTCATTTCTTGTAGTAAGCATGATGTCACTTGGGAAGGATACATCTTTCTCCACTTTTGCAATTATTGTAGTTCTATCCAGGCTATTCAAACCTCATACTAATTAATTTGTTATATTTCAGTGACACAAAAAGCAGATGAGCCCAGTTCTGTGAAGGAGGAAGAGTTATTGAATGGTGATGATGCTGCAGTGGAGAAAATCAAAGGTAAAATGCAGTGTGTACTGAAAATTCGTGACAGAGATGCCAGTCAGTTTTGTAAGATGGGAGCCTAGTTTTTCCCATCTTGTGACTGAAAGTTCTCATATGAACTAGTCTTGAGATTTCTTTGGAAGAGGTTGAAGAAAAACTTCTCACAAGAAAAAAAAATTCATGATATTTTCCAAATTTATTACTTACTGAGTTCTTCAGAGAGTAGCTACACATAAGATGATTGGTATATAATTATTACATATTTTGCAGTAAACTGTTTTCAGGAATTGTTTTAGCAGGTTTGTGGACACTCTGCACAAATGTGCAAGAGTTAAAACTTCACAAACTTTTCATGCTACATAGCAAATCCTTTTTCCAAACCTAGATCTGAACTTGATTCAAAATCAAAATTACCCAGGGTTACTTCTCTAGGTGAAAACAACTTGTAAGTCTTGCTACATAAGTTTTCAGGTTTATTCCCTCTGCTGTTTTCTCTAGTTTGGTCATCTGTAGTTCCATTCTGGTTTATTTGGAGCTAAAGTTTAAATTGTTTGAATTGCCAGGGGCAGCCATCATGTAGCAGTTTTATACTAATTTTCATCAAAATTAGTTTTCTTTCATTAAGTTGCCTGCTCCCTGGTAACTCTTACTTATGAGATGGCAAGTCAAACCTTTCTACCGTTTGTTATATTGCCCATCACCATTTTTGTTTTGCTTTTGCAGAAACTGCCAACAGCTCAGACATCAATTTGGAAGACAAAGACTGTGACCAAGGGCACTAACATGTTGTATGCAGTTGTTGCTGTGGATGATTACAGTTTTGTTCTGTTGGGTACAAAGATATTTTAAATTATCATTTAAATGAGCAAGAGCAAGGTTGTTATAGGGACTAGAAAATACTGTGGTGTCATGTGATATGCACTGAATTTATTCACATTAAATTCCAAAGGCCTCTAGTTCAAGTAAATTCAGTTAAACCATGAGAAGCACAAGAAGATTAAATTTCTTGTTTAGTCACAGATTCTTTATAGATGGTTTATTTATTATGAGTATTAACGAGGAGTTGTTCCCTCTTATGATGGAGATATGTCAGATACTCTGTCAGATTAATTTATTGAGAGAATAAATGACACTTTTAACAATAAAACTTTTGTGACTGTAGCATACTTGGTAATGTTCAGTGCAAGTAGTGAAATTAAGTGTACTGTGCTAAATTTCTTCCTAGAATGTCAATATGTAAATGTGGCTTGTTGTTTAACACTAATTTCTTGAAGCCAGAATAACCAGGAATGTTGAATGTTTGGCAGACAGCGCAAAAATTTGTATTCTAATCTTTGGAGTGTAAGGGTAAACACAGCTTCAAATGAACGTCTGGGTAACTCCTATGAGTGACCAAGACAGAATTTCTCCTTACAATATCAATAGAATATCAACCAGATAAGTGATGAGAATAAAGAAAAATATCAATTTGGTGATAATTAGTTGATCCAATACTCAATTCTCTGAACTAACTTTAGAAGAATTGTATGGTTGACAGTAAGGAGAATTACAAATTTTGTCTGGAAGTTGAAGGGTTAATTTATGAGTTGAGCCCAAGAATGAGGTTGTATGCTTGGATCAATGTCAATATATGAACAACTGTGTTCTTATCCCTCCCCTGACCTAACATTAACCCTAACTTGTTATCAGTTGACTGCAGTTGTGTTAGGGGAGGGGTGGGTGTGCAGTTAATCAGATACAGACATTGATCTGATTGCTTCATTGATACCACTTAGTAGATCAAATTGAGAAGTGGACATTTTTTATGCATAAAACTATATTTATAGTTTATTTTCAGCAAAAAGTGCAGCATAACAAATTGTAAATCTCAGATAAGTTGAAATTACAGTTGCATGAGGCGAGTGGAAGTAAAGTTAAATTTTGAAAGCTGAATGATGGCATGAATTTTTAGTGTAGACTGTTTTGTGTCCCACAAACTATTGTTGTGATAGATAAAGAAAGAAGCACATTTGAGATATAGGTTCTCTGTGATCTTGAGTACAGCATCAAAGTTTCAGTGAAAAAATCAGTGATGCTTCCTGCAAGGGAGGAGTGAGAATTTCCTAGTGGCAGAAGGAGGGAAGGGTCCTTCAACAGTTTCTTGCTGAAATTAGGGGCTTGCTTGGGATAAGAAAACTTCCAGAGAGATATTTTCTTTGATGTGATTGAAAGAAAAGAGTTTATGTGGCTCTCTACTCTTCCCCTGTTAGGTAAGGAATTCCAACACCCACCTGCTCTTCATCAGGTCAAAACTGACTGAATGATTGTCCTCAAAACTGAACTGCACACCTTCTTTAATAAATGAATTCACAGGTATTCAAGAGTTTGAAAAATATTTATGTTTCCAATTTTATTTCAATTTTCACTGATTTCCCGTCTGCCACTGTGATTTTAGCAAAATTAATAGAAAAATTAAAAATTTTGGTAGAATCCTAGTTCAAAATAGAAATGAAATACACTTACCTGGGTAGGAAACATTAAATCGGTCTTCACTCGTTCAATGTTATGCACATAAACGATTCATGCTTCAACTGTCGGGCAAAAATTCGTAATTATAATTTTTAAGGAAATACGAGTGTCAAAGACAAAGGAAAAAAGAAGCAATGAACAAAGTGCGTTTAGGTAAAAGTCAGCTTTAAGAAAGAGGCTAATGACGAAAGATAGAAAGCGAAGATTGAGGCCATTTCATTGCTGCTGTTTTTTTTTTCCTCTTCCATCCTTTCACCATTACAGGTGGTTCCTCCAAATTAGGGAGACAAAGAATAAATTGATAAAATGTAATTACGAAAGCACGCACAGCCCAAAAGCTTATTTCCCTTTAGGCGCAAAATTGACCAAAATGTTTCCATATCTAGTGATACTTTAATTTTCAGTTTTTAAGCAACATAAATGCTGAAAATAAAATAAAATAAAGTAAAAATCAGACAAATACAAACCCAAACTGTATTTCTCAAACCGGGAGAAAAATATTTTTTCTCTTCTTTGAAAAAATATGTATATTCAATAGCGAGAAGTTCCGGTCGTGAATATTATTAAAAATTTTTTCGCCATAGTCTCTGGAATGACAAAGAGGTCATCTCTGAAATCGTGAATCTTTAAAACAAAACAATATTTTCAACATTCACTTCGTTTTCCGCATTTCCGGTCGACATCATTTTACAAATGAAATGATGTGAGAAAGAGGTACATTGTTTCCTTCCCGGAAAAAATATATCTCTTATCATACCCAATTTCCTCTTTTTTAGGGAGAATCACGCTATTCAAGATTCCCTTTTTTTTATACATTTTCTCTAAATTTAAACCATGATTGATAAAAGGAAATGGAAAGCTCTTGAAGAAAGGTGTCCATTGCATTTTCAGTTCTTTCCCGCCATATTTCCCCACGCTGTTTATATTCAGCTGTCAATCATGGCTATCGTTGCTATGACAATAGCAATTTTAGACCTCGTTTCCCTCAAATCTCGCTTCTGATTGGCTGTTGTTGAAGTCTCGTTGTCGCAGTTGCAAAATGGCGTCTTCTTGAATGTGACCCGCCCCAGAGCCCATGGCTGAAAAAAACACCAACATGGAGTGGGGCCTCTCGCGCGAATATCTTGCCGTTATCCTGACGTATCTCGTTGCTCTTCGAACTTTCGGAAACTACCTCAATTCCTCTTCCCAGTGGACCGAGTTAACGAAAAAATGCCTTCTTCTCGGACCGGGAATAAAAGGATTTATGTTTTCAGTGTCTCGAGCAAGGTGTCATTCAATACGGTTTGGTGTACCAAAAAAGGGCGCTTATAGGGTGTGTGATTTTCTCATTCGCTCGTCACCGAGTGGTCGGCAGTCCAGCGCAAGCCACGATGGCGAACGCACAAGAATCGCATGAAGGAACGGGCTCGTACACTCGATTTTAGCCGTTCTCTGAACGAAGAAACATTCCATTTATCTTTATGGAGGAAATACAAACTAAACCTAGTGTTTTGAAGTTCGAAACGAGCAGTTTCAACGCAAGTACGTGCAAGCATTGTTTGTATAAACTAGTCGTACGGAAAATTGTATGCATATTTTAGCGGTCCTTTCACGTCTGGATCTTGCTCGACAGGAAACTTTTCTTCGTCATACAAAAACGTCGAAATGGGTATTTCGCTTCAATTTCGAAGGCCATCTTGTTGTGTTTAGGGAATGGCGGAGAAATCAAGTAATTTTCCCTATTTGGGATATTGAAAATCATTTAAATTTGCGATTAATATTCGATAGGTCTTGTCGTTTCTAATTTTTCGGAAATTTATTCCTTTCGTTGTAGATGTCGATGCCAAGAAAGAGCAAGCAAAGACGGCAAACGTTATGTTTGAGGGAAAGAACATTCATTCTTCGCCGTTGGATGGAAAACTTCTATGTAGCTACAGTGAAAAGCTTTGTAAGCAAAGAAGGTTAAATGGCTACGCGTTTTGTATTCGACATGTGTTAGAGGATAAAAACGCTCCGTTTAAACAATGTCAGTTTGTGGCAAAATACAACGGACATCAGTGTACAAATCCTATACCGTCTGCCGAGGATCGAATGTGAGTTTGTAATTTTGTTTTCTTTGCTTTTCCCCCTTTGTGAATATCATTCTCCTCTTGATCGCTTCCGCGCTTCACTTTGATGTTCAAAGCGATGGTGATAATGCTTTTGATGATAAATCGCTCTGAATTTTCGTTCTAACTCATGCTTTATGTTCTTGTTACCTTTTCAGATACTGCAATAGTCATTTACAAGTTTTAGGAATCGTTCCCAAGAAGAATCGACGAAAAAAACCTGGCGAAGGAGTCGAGTGCGAGGCGAATTCATCTTCTTCGATAACAGAATGTAAAGCAAGGACAGATGTTTTGGCGACTCCAGCATCGACAAACATGTCTTCGATCCCCACTCTATTTCCTTATCGTTCAAAAAAGCCTAAAAATCAACCGCCGAAGAAAAATTACGCAAATAGTCCAGCGATTGAAGAGTTGAGAGAGAGTAGGAGAAAATGGCAGAAAGACAGAGCGGATTTATTCAAGATTTATGGTAAGGATTTTTACAGAAATTTTGCGTCTTTGTGCTTTTAATAGAAGCTTAAAGCGATTTCGTGTTTTTGTGCACAATACATGTACTTCGTGGCACCTCGATGATCTAAAGCATGAACTATCGAGTTACAACAACAAGAATTTAAATTTCCGTGAGTAGGTCTTTACTGTTCTGTAGAAAACGCTTTGTCCAAAAATACGATACAGTTTTGTTTTCACCATTTCGTTTTCCTCATGGAATCTATTGGCGTCGACCTTTTTTTCTCGTAGATGAACGAGATTCAAACCTCTATTGATAGTCAATCGATCGTGTTACTCTCTAGTTTGGAAAAAAAAATTACAAAAATCTCGTGTCATGTTATAGTTTCACAATTTTACAGAAAATGTTTTGATCTGTGGTATATCCACCAGTTTTCCTGCCACGTTACCCGATTTAAATCAGACGAAGTTTTTGGTGGTAGAGTTTCTAATTTTCCAAATTTATTATGGTGTGATCCATTCCTATTTATTTGAAAAAAGTTCAGTAGTGATTGTCACGAGATCACCTAAGTTTTAAAGTGAAAGTATCGTGTCGGTCAGGTTTAAAAAATACCTGACATCATGTGATTTAAGCTCAGTAAAGATAGATGTTTCTGGAAGTTAAGTACAGAACAAATTCACCAAACATCTGCTGGCTGGAATGATTACAACTGAAAATTTTTAATTTCTCAGAGAAGTACAGTTCACAGGGTGTTAATTTAACAAGTTAAGAGGTTTCATCAGAAGTCTGGTGTGGCTTGACTATCTCACTGTGTACACTTGAATAAAAAGCTGTTATATAAATTTTCCGACATAATTAATACCTTTGAATAGGTTATCTAGGAGCTTTTAAAGTTTCGGTCCATTTCCTTTTTATCACCTTGGAAACATCTTTTGAGTTTAGCCGTCTTATTTCTACAAGTGTGCAATCAATTGATAAATTCCAATTTGGATAGTAATGTACAGTTTTTGCTGGGTGATATTGATGGAAATTGGTTGTGGGATATACAGTTGCAGTAAAACACAAATTCTTCATAGTTTAGGAAAAGAAAATGATCCCAGTGGGTCTGGAACATTTATATGATACAGACACTTGGACATTAGCACATTTAATCCAAGCAATGGTATGAATGAAAGTTTTCAGAATTTGTAGAGTATTTTGCTTTAAACAGCTGGAAATTTTCACCTTGATTTGAACATATTTTTTGTAACCAGAGAATTCTCACCAGTGAATCCACTTGAAAGGTGCACCTTGCAGTGGAAACAAACAAACTAAATGTTATTCACACAGTAACAAAGATGTGAAGTTAAACACAGGCATGCTGTTATGACTGTAATGGTTGTGAAAGGAGTCTATTTCATTAAAGGCTCTTGCTAATGCAGTAGCTCTCAGCTGGCAAACTTGTGATTCAATTTGAGTATGTTCTCTGAGATCAATATGATGGTTTTGACCGTAAAAACTGTTCATTCTGCCTTACAAATAGAGGGAATAAGCTTCGAAAGAAATTGTGGAGCTGGGCCAACTGAGTTGGTAATGTAAATTGGCCACAGAAAGAGTTTCTTAAGCTAATGATTTCAGGTTAACCAATTGTCAGAGTGAATTCTGCATTTTGGCTACCTTTCAGTATTGTTAGTTTGAATTTTTGCGTCTAAGAGAGAATTGTGATGCAATTAACCTGGTCCATGTTATTCAATGCAATGATCTATGGCTATTTTATGCCTTAGTTCTGTTTGGCCTACAGTCATTTTACACCACATCAACTCAAGATTTCCAGAATACAACAGCCTTCCTTTTTAATGTTTTTCCTAAGCCAATCACCATTAAGGCAGGGCCAGTAACAATTACTTAACTTGATTGTGATAAAGATTTCCTCACAAATATATTTAACTTTATCATTCATCTTCAAGTCATAGAAAATGCTAGTTTCTGTCTAGGCAGGTAGGCTTTTGTGGAGAGGAGAAAAGGGACTCGTTAATCCATTTTAATCTGATTACACTAAAGTTAAAGTTCATAGTTAATCCAGTGCATATTTGGTTTTCAGTCATTAGCCGGAGAATTGTGCATGCTAGTGGCAGAATTCTTTGATCTCTGTAAACTACCTGCAAGTAATGCTTCTAAGTTTTAATGCAAGTGTATTTTTGTCGTCAGATATTGAGAGTTCTGATGGTGACAGTTCCAGTGAAGGTGATGATATGCCCTGGCAGCAAATGTGGCTCTCTTCTGATAGTGATCTTGATTATGAAGCTCTCAGAAAAGAAAACAACTGGTTAGTCAGCTTGTCTTGTTTTTTTTCCCTGACAGTTGAGAGTGTTTGCCATGTCTTACAAGAACAGAAACACATTGCAAATAATTATGCCACCGCTGTAGCATCTTTTGTGCCACAATAACTGATTGATTGTGCCCCAAATTATTGATGGTTTTCTAAGGAGGGTATTTTTCTAAAGAGTTGCAATCCTATGTACTTGTTGTTATTCATCAATAGTTGGAAAGGAAGTATTGATGGATCTTAAAATTAAAAATTAAAAAAAAAAATTGTCTTCCCTTAGAAGGTCTCAATCCTTTCACTGCCCAGAAAGGCAAATTAGAAATTTCTCCTTTAAGTATCATAACATTTTCAAGCAGAAAGGTTATAAGAAGAAAGAAAATAGCAACCAAAGGGTCTAGTCTGACTTAACAGTACATTTTCGGAGCTGAAGCAATCAAGAATGAATTGCATTATGTATGAAGACTTTAGTTTTAGATCTTGGTAGGGTTTAGAAGGGTATTTGAAAAAAAATAATTCATGCATGAAATTATTGTTGTTGTTTTTTCATCAAAAATAATTCTGCCTCCGAGTTGATCTAAGAAATAGTGGTTTCTTCAAATTTATGTTACCCAATTTCTTGTTAGCCTTCATGCTGATATTAGAACTGCTAAGATTTCAAGACTGAGTAGCCAGCTACGACGACAACTTCACCAACTGAGGAGAACACTGCGAACACGGCGTCATCAATACAAAGATATGATGGCATCTGGTAATGTTCTGGTTAAGGCTGTTCAGAGTAACAGTTCAGCCTGTGTGGATTCTCTTCTGGAAAATAGCAAGAAGATGCGGAAAACAAGGTGGGATGTTTCACAAAATTAGAAGAAATGAATGGTGAATTTACCCCAGATATGGA